TTTGAAATCTTTTTTTTTTTTTTTTTTTTTTTTTTTTTTTGAATTGAAGGAGCTAGGGCAGAGAGCGGAAAAGTAATGTACTTATAGAATGAAAAGGTTCTAATATTTAAAAAAAATGTGTCTTGTCATAAAGCGCTTTATTTGTAGAAGAAGTAACAAGATTTGCTTTAGGGCCGTTCACGTATGGTGCAGAAAGGCCTTCAGAGATACGATTTAGACCCTTAAACCAAACACAAGAATATACTGCTGATGAACTCATGAGAATATATTCGGTACGTTTAATTATTTACTTTATTTAGATATCTATTCAAGTAAGCCATGAAGTTTTCTTTAGATTACTCTAGAAGCTCGTTTTTTTAAATTAAAGCGCTTAGATCATGAAGAATTGGAGTTAAAGAAACAATGGCTTGCTCTAACACTTTTAATAATATTGAAAGATCATATTCTTTCAATGACGCTCTTTCGTCATCTGCCAAAATTGTTCAGGTCGACAGCCATTTGAAGCCATATTTGCCTATTATTGCTGACAAAGAGCGTTACCCCGTGATTAGGGACAAAAATGGCATTGTTTGTTCATTACCTCCTATAATTAATGGCATGTTTTATATGGTTCTTTTCAGTGCCAAGTTCCTACTTTATTTTAGAATATTTTAAGTATAATCTTTCTGTATGTCGTTTCATTTAAACAGGGGCTATGATATGCTTCTTAAATTAAATATGAATAAGTTAACAATACTCGTCTTACTTCAGTTTTCTAAAGTCATGATTAGATTTTTCTTAATTTTAATTGCAGTTTTCGCTTTTACACCGTGTAGATATTTTTTTATTAATCTTCTACTTTTATACCTTAAGGCGAACACTCTAAAATTCGGATGGATACAAAAAATATATTCATTGAATGTACTGCAACTGATTTACAGAAGGCTATCATTGTTCTTGACACTATTGTTGCACTATTTTCGCAATACTCCAAGCAGCAGTTTACGTAATGTTTAAACTTCTTAGCAGTTATTCGTTTATTATGGGAGTTGATGCTGTGCGAAATACTTTTTGAGCTTTTATTTTTGGTTCTTGTTCTGTTAGAGGATTTTGTATCTTTGCATGTTTTTCATTGTTAGCCACGTTCTTATCTTGTTTATTTACATCGTAGCTTATAAAAATATTGTTTTTTAGAGTTGAACCTGTTGATGTTCAGCAGATTGATGGGACTGTAGTTTCATACCCGGTATAGTTTGACATTTTTTCTTGAGAAAGTTGGTCTGGTCCTTACTTTTTCTGTAACAGAGGTTTTTTCAATTTCCTTCCAGAAGCTGGAATATCGTACTGAGCATGTAAGCGTTAAAAATATAAATACTAAAATTGGCTTAGAATTAAAAGGGAACGAAATGGCTAAACTTCTTTCACGAATGTCCTTGTCTACAAAGGTTTTGGATGAAGATACTTTAGAGGTAAAGTTTTTCTGTAAATTATGACTCCATGATTTGCTGACAGGTAGTTTTTGATCAGAATTTTCCTTATGGACTAATTAATTTCTGCGTAGAGCATTCATAATGTTATTTTAATTTTGAAACACTTAGTTGTAATGGGTTCAATTTATGTGCTGTTTATGCGGGATTATTTTCTAGGTTACAATTCCTCCCACTCGTCATGATGTTCTTCATGAATGTGACATAGCAGAAGACGTTGGGATTGCATTTGGTTATAATAATATTCAGCAGAAGCTTCCTGAAATACAAACTGTAGCTGAACCATATTGTTTAAATAAACTTTCGGATTTATTACGGGAAGAGATGGCTTTTGCTGGATGGACAGAGACATTAAATTTTGCGCTGGTGATTTTGAGTATCGTTATGTAGACTTGAAATTTAGTTTTGTTACACGCATTGCTATTTCGGAAAATTCGTTCGGATTAATATAGCCTTAGTAGTTATGGAACTTTAATGTGCATAGTTTCTTAGGTCTTTTATTTTTTAATTTTTCTTTTCAGTGCAGCAGTGCCGATATTTCAACAAAGATCAAGAGGGAAAATGGACTGCTTGACGCTGTAAAAATATCAAATCCGAAAACTTCTGAATTCCAGGTACATTTCATGTTATTTTCTAATCTGTTTTGAAATTCCTTTGCAGTACGTTTTTTTAAGGTTGCGCGAACAACTCTGCTTCCTGGGTTGTTAAGGACTCTTGCGTGTAACAGGGATATGCCCCTACCTCTTCGCCTTTTTGAGCTTCAGGATGTTGTCATTAAAGACTTACGTGCAGGTTCATTTTTAAAACAAGTTGCATTGTCTGGCTCAGAAATGTTTTTAAATTACGATTTTAGTGGTTCTCATTAATTTATTTAGTTCCTATTCGTAATCACATTGTTTTATTTAAAGCTTTTTAGAAACAGGGGCACGTAATGAACGACATCTGGCTGCTGTTTATTGTGGCAAAACTGCAGGTTTTGAAATAATTCATGGCTGTTTCGATCGTTTAATGCAGGTGGTTGATATAAAGTGGTCTGCCGATAATTCTGGCTATCACATTAAGGAATATGATGGTAATAATAAGTGCTAGGTTTAAAGGTTTTTCTAACTTAGTTCGTTGTAGGTCCTAACGTTTTTTCAGGAACTACAGTTTATTTTGTAAAATTTAAGCTCTAGTAGTTCTTAAATTTTCTTTTTTTTTCTAAATTTTTTTTTAAATATGACGAGTTTGCAAAAGGTTACGGCTTGGTGAATTGTTTACTTTATTAGATTTGTGGAAGGCAGTCTTTATAAGTAAAGGTTGGTCAACCTAACACTAGTAAGTGTCTATATTTCTTAACTTTGGTTTTGTTTGTTATAGACCCTACCTTCTTCGATGGCCGATGTGCCAGAGTTGTTGGTCCAGGAGGATTTGAGTTTGGTACTTTTGGAGTTATACATCCCGAAGTTCTTGCTGCATTTGGTCTTACATTACCAGTCTCGGCTATTGAAATAACTGTAGAGCAGTTATTATAAAATCACTAGTCACTTTCCTTGCTTCCAGTTCTGCTGATTGTTTGATCTCCTTTCGGTTTTTCATAAAAAAAAAAAGGGCTGCTACTTTGCAGAGAATAGTGATTTTTGATTGTTCATTTGTTTCGACAGGAAGTGAGGAAGAAGCTGGAACTGTGCAGTAGTTTTCTCGGTTCTTGGGTATTTCTTTTGGAAAAAAATGTTGTCTGTTATTTTGTTGTTGCTTTGAGTATCTGGAAATCTTAATAAAAGTAATTTATAAAGTGCATTATTGTTCACTTTATTGTTATTATTTGGAAGTAAAGAGTTGAGAACAATCAGTTTTCCCTTGTAAATTGATTCACAATCGATGGTAATTGTTGTATCATGTAAGTTACCTGTTTATCCTGGTTGTTTTTGTAAGTTTTGGCATCTGAAGGTTGCTCAGGAGTGGAGCGGTTTTGATATTTAGTTTTACCTGGATGGGTTTGGTAGAGAAACAGCTGCCTTTTGAAATTTTTTTTTAAATTTAACCGTTTAAAATTTTACTTGGGTTTTTTCCGGAAGGGTTTATTTTTGTTGTGGTGCAGAATAATTTTACCCCTGTTACAGGAGTCTCCACAGTTTTCGGGGTGTTGAGATAATTCTAATCAGTAGAATACATTGTGTAACCTTCTGTAAGCAGTGCGCAGTTTCTAATTTTGAAAGTAAGCAGTTTTTTGAAGGTTAGGTAATTATCTGCCTTATGGTGCAGCAAATCAGTTACTTTGGCGTTTGCTACCTTCCAGGTGAAATATTCTTTTGCTTATTGATTACTGCATGCGCTTTTCATAGCAGTTCTAGGGCAATGTATGCGGACACTTTGCTGATTATTTTTATTGCGGTATGTACAGCGCTGCTGGGAGAACTTTTAACTTATGTACTTGTTTATCGAAGTGATCAGTATAAGCGGCTTAAGAGTGAAATGGAACGGAAAACTAAGAAGTTGGAGCGGAAGGTAGGCTTTTCTGTGTAACTACTGAATTTTTCGATTCAATTTGCCTACTGCGTATTTTAACTAAAAAGAGAAGTTTTCTGCTTAAAAGTATATGTCTGGCTCCTTGGGCTATCTTGCTTTTGATAAATGTTAAAACGATTGCTTATTTAAGAAAGAGATGACAACTGAGGCGGACAGAATGAAGAAGAAGAAAATCGAACGGGAAGAGGAACGTCTAAAAGCTACTAATCGCGATATGAGTATGTTTAAAATGAAAAGCATGTTTGCGATTGGATTTGCATTTACTGCATTATTGTCTACATTTTCTTCAATTTTTGATGGGAGGACAGTGGCCAAACTTCCATTTACGCCAATATCGTTTATCCAGGGGCTTTCCCACCGGTAATTTTTTTTCAAAGCTTCACTATCTGTTTGTAACACCTTGCGCCGCCAAACTATTTCTTGATATTTTAATTTGAAATAAACTTTCCATAGGCCTAAAAGTGCTTTTTGCTGTATAAAAATTGAATGAGGAGGTGCAGATTACTGCACAGCGAAAAAACAATTTGCAGTATTCAAGAAAGGTCGTGGTGAAGTATTTGGTTCAAAAAAATTCAGGGACTGTTGCTGGACCATTGGTTTTTAATTATGTTGTTTTTATGAAATTATTTCAGGAATCTGGTTGGTGAAGATTACACTGATTGTTCGTTCATATTCTTATACATTTTATGTACTATGACAATTAGACAGAACTTGCAAAAGCTACTGGGCTTTGCACCGTCACGTGCAATGAACCGACAAGTACCACCGTCTTTCTTCAGCACTCCATCCTCTGGATTATCCAACAACTTTTCGTATTTGCGCTGAGATCCATTATGGTGCTAAATAGTTTTGCTCTTCATGTCCAATATATCACTACTGGTCTCATATTTTTAGTTGCTTCAGACGTCGTTATCAACCCATTTGTCTTAACATTTTCTCATTGGGAAGGTGGCTTTTTTACCGCCACAACAGAGGGAATTTTTTTTTGATGAATATATGAATTTTCTCTTAATCGGGACAGAGAACCAATAGTTTTGATTTTCTTTCAAAAGGAGTGCGACTTCCGGTCAACATATTTTTTTAAGGTTCTGTCCTTTCCAGGTGGTGCTGTGATAAATGAGAGCACCACACAAAGCAGTCGATTCTAAACAGTCCTCATTGGTGGTAACTGCCGAAATTCGCTGTCAGCGTTGTCCCGAACGTTGACAGGACGATATGAGCCTTAAATATTCTGAACATGTTGTCATAGTTTCATGGAGACAATCATTCTTTTTTGCTTCCACAGCCCAAACATAGTGGTGCAAGTGGCCTCTTGAACGAGGTGCTTAACTTCTTTTGAGTCAAATCCACTGAAATAAAAGTCCTGTTATCTTTCAAAATGGCTAGGACTCATTAAGCTGCGGTTTTCGTGACTGCACATCGGGAAGCTTATTCAACACCACGGGAAGTTCTTCACGCATGCTGGGTCCAGTTACTTGTGCACCGCTTCATTTTTTTCGGGCGATATTGTCTCGGCATCATCCCACAACGATTTTTTTGTAATGTTAATAGACGATCTTGAAGGTTAAGAGGCCGCCTGACCATGCCTTGGAAGAGTCTGTACGATGAAGAGACTGCAACACCCGTACAAACTCTCTGTGCACATTTTTAATTGTTTTGCTTCCCTCCTTCAAAATTCATCATCTTATGGGGCGATTATTTCTGTACGATTCTTTGCGTCAACGAGTGCTGACAAGAACTTTAGTCGAAAAACAGGTACTTTGCTTCTCAGGGCCCATTAGACCAATGATTTCCGAAATATCACGGAATGTGAATAACGTATCGTCGCAGCAGTCTAGGCCGATAGCGCATTTAATTACGTACACAATACTCATCTCAAGACCAACTGGTTTTTGCCTGGGTTGCTTCTAACCTATTTTCATAGCGCACTTCTTACTCCCACGACCCATGTTCCATATCCTCCCTCGCTGACTTCATCTGGAGCAGTTACTCGGCTTCGGGAACTTAAAGGACCTCGACCATTAAAGGTGACTGAAGCAAAAGATCGAACAATAAATCCGCCTTTACCATCGCTGGGCTAAATACGTCATGCTTTACAGTTTTGGCAATGTCCGCTCATCCCCAAACTTATCCTTTACACCAAGCTTTAATGTAAATTTATTTACAGTAACGGCAACACCTGCAACAAATCTCAGGCGATCATTTACTATAATATACCTTTACAGGACTAAGGCCAGAAAATTATGCATCTGGTTAACGAGATTTATTATCGCATATAAAAAAACACTATAGCATAACAAGGTCGAAGTCTTCTTAGATGTAAACGTCAGAAACTCAGTAGTGCATTTGCTTCAGGTAAAAAAGATAATCATTTAGGTTGGTTTGAGAACCTTGGCATCCATACAAAGCTCATCTTAAACTTCTTTTGATAAGTATTTCATCACTGAACTACACGTCACTCGCCTGCAAAGTCTGTCTCTACATGTAAAAGGACGTCTGGTGTACGGAATGAATTATTTACCTCTTGTACACCAACAGTGGCACTTTAAATTTCTCACTAATACATTTTAAAAAACACTAAGTACTACTACTGAAAAAAGGGAGTCAAAACACCATCGGAGAAAAAATTGCATTAACTTCCAAAGTAGAGATTTAGCTACTAGGGCACGGTCAGGCAGTTCGGCTCCAGTACTTTATCTAAAGCTCTTCGACAGTATTATGAATAAATATATGAATTTTTCAAGAAACTCCTACGTTTACTCCAAAATCAACCTTTAACACCGATTTTCGTCACATGAAGACAATATATGAAATTCTCAACTACTTACAAAGAAAAAATTAACAAATTTTTGCTTGCCAGGTCTGAATTGCAAGCCCCGGTCAGCCAAGTCTCCATCTACAGTTCTAACTCTTTTACAGCGATATATATATATAAACAGATTAAGTAAACTTCTACCAGTAACACTGAGTCTTCCGTTTCATTGTGTCTAATGAACCGCGCTATTTTGCGTCCCGTACATGTCTATAAATATGTGCCAAGCCAACTTCGCAATGAGGCCAAAACTTCATGTGGTGCATCACGTATTCTAGAAGCAGTAATCTTTCCTTTGAAAAGATGCTTGCAGTAACGAGGGTATTTCAAGAGCACTACTTAAAAATGCTGCCGTTTGAAAAAGGTTAAAAAAGGTCAAAACTAAGTGATGTATAAATTGAAAAAAATTAACCCGTTAGTGCCAAGAGTTTCTTGCCAACCTAAGCCATGTAATTCTGTAACATTAGAAACAAAAATACTCTTCCTTTTCAGTTTACTTTCTTCCGTCCCTTAGAGCTATCTTGAAGAAAGCCGCAAGCTTTCTTATGGATCTTGAAACCATACAGTCTGAAATCAATGAATTTAATAGAATCCGTATATTAAAGCAGAGCCACAGTTTCCGAGAAGTATAAGAAATTTCCTTCTGTGCACAAAAAACGTTATGATTTCGACTATAACCATCACAGGATGTGATATCCTTCAAAAATCCGATAACCACATTTTTTAAGAGCTAAAAAAAAAAAATATACCGAGGAACAAAGTGAGCTGAAGGTAATCCTGGTCGCACTTCAGGATGGGCAAAAAAAAACATGTGAGGGAATCCTGTTCCAAAGTACGCTCCATCTGTGTGTTGGTTTCTTACATTTCGCGGAGTATAAACATCCATGCATTTTGGACAGTACAGTTTCACCATTGCCTCGCCTGGTACGTCTGATAGACCTGATAAGCAGCTACGTCACTTCTATTACTTATGCAGGTTACCTCCACAAAACTGTACGTGGAAATGTATATGAGGAGAAAAAGCGTAACCGTAAGTTTTTGTTTCAACCATAAAACATTACTTTTTTTCTCCATTTGTTTTAATTTACTGATCCACTGATAAGTAAGTGTATTGATTGACACCATCATGCTCAAAAAATTATAAAATCAAATCAACTCCTTTACATAAACATAAGTTTTCTATTACCCCCACAGAAATATAATAAAGCATCTAAAAAAACAAAGTTCCTGTCCCACTCGAACAAATCCAGTTTCCGTCATCTGATCTTTTACCAGACGGTGATATAACTCAGTCACTCTTCTTTCATTGCCCCTCCTCTTCCGTCTTTTAAAATCCTATTTTCCATAAGAACGCTCTGGCAACAAAAATTAGGTTACAAACGTGGTATGTTAGCTGCAGCTTAATCAATGATATTGAGACCTTACCGAGGCGATACAGGAAGAGCTTCGCCTCCTTAAAAATAACATTGACAATTTTCCCATCAGGCAACAAGCAACCTTCTAGACTTCCCTGTTTCTTAGGCAATGTTCCCCACAACATGCTTTTGAAAAAGTGGCAAACCACTATCAAAATCTTCGCAATCTGCTTCACTAAGTCCCAAAATCTTGTTCTTATTTCAAGGTCTTATCAAATAATATTTACATACAATGTTCAAGGACAGTATTTTCATACCAGCCCCCTCTAAAAGCCAGAAAACAATTTTATTCTGCCAAATGGCCTTGAAAAACTAATTTTAACTCCGTATCAAACAACACTTTCAAAGTAACAAAAATATTTTTGGCAGGTGAAAAAATTTCGTGGACTAACCTAATACGGAAAATGCAAAAAAAATTTAGGAACAAAATCATTCCACGGACGCTTCTTGATCACTTTTTCACTCGTCGCAATGACGGATAATATCTCACCACAAGACTTAAAATCAACCGTTAAATCTTAATTTAAAAACTTGACAATTTTAGCCACACGAAGACAATCTAAAGCTTAAAACCTTATTACCCTGCTACAAAATGACTCAAAAGTAAATACAAAACGACGTGAACAAAATAAACCAAATGTCCCAAAATCATGAATGAAAAAAACACCACTGAATTTTAGAAAATAAACTGACCGATTGGCAAAAACTTTTGGCTTTCGCAGTAGACTCGTGGACAAAAACCAAAATCGCCGTTATTCCATTTATCCATCATCTGAGTTATCCCACGGTCTGTTAAAATATATCTTGCATGAATTAATCCGTATAACATTTCTGCAGCTTGTTCCACAAGTTCACTTTCTGCATTGTTGATCTCTTCATCTAAATAATACGTTGTAGTTCCTCAATAGATACTTAAAACAAAAAAAACCATAATATTCTATAAATAAAAAAAATCGGAGTACAAGAAACGTACAAAACAGAGTAACTTTAGGAAGAAAGATGGGCTAACCAGGCTCTGAATCAAGAATCATTTCAAGAGCATGCCTGTAGTGCGGAACCTGCTCACTCAGGCCCGTTAAGTTGAACCTGTCATTGATGTAATCCTCGTCTACCTAAAGGTATGAGTAATAAGTCCAACTTTTATATTAGACAGATTACACTACAGATAAGAATATACCATAACAGATATCGCAATCAGAAATTTTAAAAAGAATATTTAGAGCAATCACACAGTTTCCACTGGTCTGCAAAAACTGGAAAGAAACTGTGAAAAGTAATTTGACGGCTGAATGAGTTAACAATTTTATTATTAGTTATTATTGTTATTGTCTGATTCCGAAAAATCTCAAAATTAATTTATTATTATTGTCTTATTATTATTATTATTATTATTATTATTATTATTATTATATTATTATTATTATTATTATTATTATTATTATTATTATATTATTATTATTATTATTATTATTATTATTATTATTATTGTATTATTATTATTATTATTATTATTATTATTATTATTACTAATTGTAATTATTGTCATTATTATCATTAATACCGATATTATTTATTATTATTATTGTTATTACTATTATTATTATTAATTGTAATAATTGTCATTATTATTATTATTACTACCGATATTACTTATTATTATTATTACCATCATTATTAATTATTATTATTATCTTCAATAAAATCCCCACCCAGTGATTTTCAAAAAAAAAAAAAAAAAAACTATTGTTTGATTTATTAATCAGACTCACTTTCATAGCCTTGAAAAAAAAAAAAATGCAAAAATCTATTTCAAAAACGGCACCATCATAGTTGAGGGTTACCAATACCCAAAACTAAATTTCCTTTCAATAACCCACCTCCGTTTGCTTTGCCTAAAGTTCCACACCTAGCCTTACTCATCTGTAGCAATTTCAAGCTTGTCTGTTAATTTCTTTCTAAATTTCCAAAAATTTAACACCAAACACTTGTTTCAACTCTTGTGTAATTCCGCAGCAGCACTATTGCGACAACCCAAGCAGTAATGGATGTTGACCAAAAATAAACCTACAAGACTTTAGATTTCAGTTCGCCCAGTTCCTTCCCTGTTCCACTCCTGGCATTTCTGCTACTAGGGCGGTGCTCAATCAGCCACCTCAAAATGTATGCTTTTCAGAAAAACAAAAGAGTAAAAAGATGGGACTTGGGAGACTCTAGAAGTCTGCGCTCAAAATACTTTACACATCGGCCAGATAATCGCGAGTAAAAAAGATGACG